GAGAGAGAGAGAGAGAGAGAGAGAGAAAGAGAGAGAGAGAAAGCGAGAGAAAAAGGGAGAGAGAGACTTGAGACGGAGAGAGGAAAAAAAGAAGAGATAAAAAACCGATAGAAATGTCGTGGGAGGGATCAAACGAGGGCAGTTCAGTGGGCCAGCCGGAGAGTGAAAGAGCCCGTGAAGTGAAGGATCGCCGCCGGAGACGACTTACAAGTTAGGGACCTCATACTTGGGCTGTGACTCATGCTGATAACAGGCAAAACGCACCAGGCAGGCGCGCAGCGCGGCATTGACCTTACACCTTTCATTAAATTCGAAGAAGTTTGTTGGAGCTTGTTTTTAAATTGCGGCGTGTTAACCCTAGCCGTACGCCCTGGGGTCATTTTGTACCCTGGGGGTTGTATTCTTCACATTTTAGAATACTTCTAGGACGAAGATCTCTTTGAACTTTCAGTATTTCTCAAAAAATCGTTTTGACAGACAGCCGCTATGCAAAGCGCACGGATCGGATTAACGAGTAAATTTCCTCTTTATAAAGTGGTGGCACACACACGAGTTCCCCATGTCGTATGGATACGATAATAAAACACGACGTACGGACGAATAGGGTTAAGGGGCCTCAAAAAACCACCCCCCCCCCCAAAAAAAAAAAAAACGCCGCAAGGACGGTGTCGACAAGAAAAAAAAGAGTTTTTAAGAGTTTGGAGTCGTGGTGGAGGTGGAGGTGGAGGTGGAGGAGGTGGTGGAAGTGGTGGTGGAGGTAGTGGTGGTGCAGGGCCGGGTAGGTGAGTCATGGCTCTGGCTGGCAGACGCTAAGTAGTGATATTATCATGTCACTATGAGATAACATAAAACGCCGAGTCGCACGTTCGTTGTGCTAACAACAATTTCCAGACATGGGTTATTGCATTACAGGAAAGACTAGTGGCTCCTTGTTTCGTTCTGTTGAAATCTCTATTGTGTGTTGGTGGGTAGGTTTTTTCAAATGAACATGCAATCCCTGTTGAGGTCCATATTAAACGAATGAGTTGAGGAGTCCCAGATTATGAAAGATTCCATCTCGGGACAAGGTTAATTCACAGTAGACACGTTTATTTTTAGTGACATAGATTAATACTGACATGTGCATAATATATGGAGAATACACACAGGCGGAAACTTCGAGCGGGGTGAGTGAGCGTGACAGGAACAAGGAGAAAAAAAAGAAGAAAAGAAGAAAGAAGAAAGAAGAAGAAGAAGAAGAAGAAGAAGAAGAAGAAGAAGAAGAAGAAGAAGAGGGAAGAACAAGAACAAGAACAAGGGCAAGAGAAAAAAAAAGAAGAGAAAGACCAGCGAAATGGAAGACGAAAGTCTGACAGCCGTAAGAGCAAACAAACAACAGGTACCAGGGACAAAGAGATAAGAGCGGAAATTGGAGGAGAAATGAACTACATTGTAATTGAATTCCCCAGTCATGAGTCAGGGAAGAATGACCCGTATCCAAAAGAGCAGCTACAAAATTAATCCACCACTAAGCTTAAAGCGGGTACCTGCTTCGATCAGGGTGCGCTCTACTAACTACTCTACTCATAATTCCTACCAAAATTCGCCAAAAAAGTCGCAGAAAAGCGTGAAAATCAAAACACGAAAATAACGTTGACGCGTTCTTCTGGGTCACTATATTATATTAGTTTAGCTTAAAAATACGAGTTTTACGGCCTATGCAATACAAATAAGTCATAATTGCCGAAGATTGCAGGTGTTACAAGAGAGTAACACTCACGGAGAAGAAAAAGGAGACATGAGAACGATAGATATTTCATAGATAGGAAAGAAAGAGTAAACCACACCAGAGTGCCCGCCAACCACCAGCTTTCCACGTTACCGGTAATTGACACTACTGAATACATTTTTTAAAAATACCAAGGTATCTGATGATACATATAAATATATCAATTAATTAAAAGTAAATAATAATAATAATAGATAGCATTTGTATAGCGCATATCCCCGCTCAGCAGCAGGCTGGTTAAAATGTACAGAAAGGTTGCTTCTAACAACAACAAAAATTTATTATTTTAAATATTTTTGTCGGCAAGTCACCCTCCTCGTGTTACGATGTCACGGCAGTTTCATTTTTCACGGAATAATAGTCCTACAACGTTTTTAACATGAAAATCATTTTGGTCTCTTTAGGGTTTTACTATTAATACTTGAATTATTCAGAAATGTTACAGAGGTATACATTTCCATTACGTTGTTAAAGAGGCAATCTAGAACTGCTGCCTGCCCCATCCATTGCCACAACTTAGCAGAGTAACAGTAGCGTATCATGTACGCTGCATGTTCATGCATATGTATTTTGTGTGAAGATGAAGGTACTGTAAGGCGCCCAGAGCTGCTTTGTACTGGGATCAAAGAGTTACTCTCTGATTGTACGCGATTTGTGAGCGTTAAAGAAATTACAGTACCTGCATTATTATACTATCATTATAGTAGACACGGAATGGTTTTATTCTTCTACTCGAACATCTCGCGGTGTTACAGAAGCCATAGCAGATACACTATATATATGCCAGTACCATGGACTCATAACAGGTTTATAATAGGCTATCTCTTTTTACGAATAAATACACAAGGGTCTTTTGAGAAAGAAAAAACTTGGTTATGTTTGGGAAAGTCAGAGGGGGGGGGGTGGAGAGAGGTAGAGCACAGAGAGAGAGAGAGAGAGAGAGAGAGAGAGAGAGAGAGAGAGAGAAAGAGAGAGAGAGAGAGAGAGAGAGAGAGAGAGAGAAAGAAAGAGAGAGAGAGAGAGAGAGAGAGAGAGAGAGAGAGAGAGAGAGAGAGAGAGAGAGAGAGAGAGAGAGAGAGAGAGAGAGAGAGAGAGAGAGAGAGAGAGAGAGGGAGAGAGACTTGAGCAACCCTGAGGAGAGTGCACGTGGAATGTCATATTTTCTTTATGTGCAACTATTTGTCAGGTAAAGGCAGCACAAAAACAAACACAAATAATAAAATCTCTTCGCAAACCAAACACCTGACAGGGAGCAAACTTTAGGAGCAAATACATCGAAAAAGAGAAGGAGAGAGAAAGAAAGAAAGAGAGATAGATAGTGAGAGGAAAGAGAGAGAGAGAGAGAGAGAGAGAGAGAGAGAGAGAGAAAGAGAGAGAGAGTGAGAGAGAGATAACGAGAGAAGATAGAAAGAAAGAGATAAAGGGGAGAGATTGAAGAAAGTAATGAATAATAGTAAGTAAGGGCAAGGGGTAAAAGAATAACTAACAAGAAAAAACCCGCTTGTAAAGCTTGGAAGTTGACGTCAATGACAGAGCGTAAGATTAACTGTTCTATAGCCGCAAATAGAGCTTAATTCATCAAACCAAGCACCTGCAGCAAACGACTACATACAAAAACAAACTGTCACTTTCCACAATGATAATCCAAGCTGGCAGAGATGCCACCACTGACACCTGAGACCTACGGCAGTCAGCACACCACTATTCCCGCATAAATAACTACGCACAATATGCAAATTTCCCAGTAGAAATTGGGATCCGTCCAAAATATGTCTCTGGCGGTCAAGACAGACATTAATAAAAAACATTTTTTTTTAAAAGAGAGAGAGAGAGAGAATGTTCGCCAGCAGGTTCATCAAGAGCATTTCGTAAACATGACCCAATTCCTGAGCCCGGGCATTTCACCGACTAGGATTACATTGAGCCAGATTCCCTGTACGTTGTCAACACCAGCTGACAACTGTTCGCACATAAATATGTTACCTGGGCGCACTCGCATCAGAAACAGAAATAGATTTCATTGTCAGTTTCCATTTACAGAGTCAAGAATGATGATCATTTCCTACGGAATAGTGCTTTAAAATATATAAAAAATTTAAAAACTACAACAAAATGCCATTTGGGAATCGGTTATTTCTAAAATTATTCCGCGCTCCTGTAAGCCTGAGGTAATCAGTATTATTATTCATAAAGTGCCCGTGATGATAAGAGTGCAGAGTCCACTAAGAGACATCATGTGACTATGATGAGCAGAGATAATATTAGAAGTGACTACATCTCCGTCCTCTCCTCTCCCCCCCCCCCCCCCCCCCAACCTTCATCCTCTGCCAACAAGCAAGCAAGCTGTGATGATAGCACAGCCATCAAGTACTTTTCAGTTACAAAATCTGCCTTACTTTATACTAGATCTAGTAGTAGGAAAAGAAATTCCGCTTCACCAAACCACAAGAAAGCCTGAGGCTCCACTGTGCCACAACAGGATTCGGATTCCTACTTCCCAGGGAATTTTCTACTTTTAGGATTTAGGGGGTTTTTTGTCCACAACAAATCATATAAGACTTTATTGACTTAAGAATAGGAAGTCACTTGAGAAAAAACAACTAATGAATTACTGTGTACAAAACAATAGTTTCATTTTAGGTTTAAAACTAAGGGGGGAAAATACAGAAGGTTTTATAACAAAGTCTGAAAAAAAAAATATATAGTTGGACCTACAACCCTACATGTTTGAGATTTCAAAGACAAGATTTTTCCAAAAGGCGTTGTGCCAAGTATCTCTGCTCTCATGACTTATGTACAGAAACAAAACAAAATCCAAACTCGCATCACTACACTATTCAGAATATAATATTATATTATACATACTTAAAAGAGGTTTAAAAAATTGATTAAAGAAACAGTTTGGCAGGTTGTAATCATAAAAATATTTGTTCAGTACAAGAATGTAGGGCCTGGTACACATTTTTTTCATTTTTGGAGATGGGGGGAAAAAAACAGTTTCGTGCCACGTACACTAAGCACAAATTAGGCTCTTTGCTGATGATTGCTTTGGAATTTTAGTGAGGTTTCATCATCTTCCCTTCCAATAAAAAAAAAGTATTACAACAGAGTTTTGCCTCTTGTCTCGAACTTTAACGTTTAGGAATTTCCCTCTTACCTTTTCATCCTTATTCCTCCTTGTGTACTTCCTCTGTGGTGTGGCATTGATGGTTCCATGAGCTGTCACAATCAGATTGACGTCTTTCATGTCGGCAGACATGCGACCTCGCTTCGCTTTCGGCTCCCATTCTCCATCAGAGGAGGAGTAGTCGTAGCTGTCTTGGGACTGTTCGGCGCTGTGGCCCGGATCGACTACCGGAGGGACAAACCCGCTCTGAGTGACCGGGTCACGGCCGCCATTTTGCTGATTGTTTTGGAGTTCCATAAAAGATTGTTCGATGGTAGCGAGAGTGGTCGGAGTCAATGTAGGCGTGAGTCCGGTTCCAGAGCTGACCAAGAAGTTAGGCACGTACTGAAAAAAAGGACAGAAAAAACTATGTCAGGAAAAGGGACAATAATCATTCCATCTTTGCTCAAATTGAAAGGCAATGAAGAAAAGAGTCAAGCTGGATCATTTCTTCAAAGATGCACTAAAGCACAAAAACTCAGTTACAACAAAACCAACCAAATGATCATTTATATTCTCCATAAAACTTTCTCATTCTCAATCTTCCAATGCTTTCAATAAAGTATAAACTTTTTGCTCACAAAGCATTTTGACAGGGGCCGTTTTAAAATTTCAGTAGGCTTCTAACTCAAATGAGATCATATGAATTAATTTTATTAATAATTAAAATCTTTCAAAATTACAAAGTAGCTGTTGGGGAATTATATAAAAATTTAATAAAAATCTATACCACTGACGATCAACACACAATATCTATAAAAAATATTTTAATGAAAATCTATGCTATTGCCAAACCCACAAAAACTATTTCAAAATATTGTCATGTTAAAACATAAAATTTTAATGACGAATTTTTGCAACAGCAGAGGAAAAGTGCAGACCGGTGATGTGTAGCTGGAATGCTGGCGTTGTTGTTGTTGTTGTTGTTGACCTTGCTGCTGATAAGGGAAATAATGCTGTGGAGGTTGCTGCTGCTGTGGTGGAGGTTGCTGTTGATGATGAGGAGGAGGAGGAGGAGGGCAAATAAAGTTTGGATTGCCGATGACATTGTTATTGAAATTCCTCTGCGGATTTGGCATTTGCTGCCTGTGTTGGGGATGTGCGGGTGGGTGAGATTGTTGGGACGGGAACGGATATCCGGGCCCCTGATAGCTGGGGCAATAATACTCCGGATACACATTGTATGGATGATGGTAATCCATGGTCATCTTCACACAAATGAGAAGTAAAAATTAAATTAACTCCTTTTTTTTAAACAGCCACGGATGATTCCATCATCTTTGGCGGTAACTTTTGATTCTGAAAATCAACGCTGAAGGCACGGAAAAATAAAATCCTCGAAATCAATCAATGTTGAAGGCACATGGGTATGACAAAGGCTGATCCCACGTGGATCGAAAAATTAAATTTGAAAAAAAAATATATCTTCTGTATATTATTTACTCCATAAGGCACCAACTCAAAATATAGAAATAAATATTATCCGAAGTCTGCAAAAAGCGCAAAATTCCAGGAAAAAAATTATATAAATATATATTAGATTCTTCATATGAATTTCTGTAAGGCACTCTGGTTCAACAATGTTGCTCTCAATATTCCTCAAGTTCTCCTTGTTGGCCTTGATGTATAATTCTATTATCCTCGAAGGATTAGTAAAGATATGACACGAGCGCTTGGCTTGTTGCTTTGTCGTGGAGTAAAAACGCTGCTAGTTGTACGCGCAATATATCTGATAGCGGGCGGCATTGTGGAGGAGCGCTCTCATTCTCCTTCTCAAGTACAACAACAGATCTGAGGCAACGACCACAATGCCTTCTATGTTGTTGACAGACACAGGCTTTTGTCGCATAATGACGAGGTTTTTTTTTCCCTTTTCCTCTTCACTTCAAGTCGGCGAGAGCGCAAGTTTAGTATTTACATCCCCCACCCCCCACACACGGTATACCCCTATACTCGGCGACAATACTTGAGTTTGTGACCCCATCCCCCGAACTGTGAGGTCATCTCCAGCCAATCAAATGGCGCGGTCGTCAAAACCTGTCGGCTGTCGAGCCCTCGATGAGGCTCGGGCTGGGACACATACAGTGGCCCAAGCGAGAAAGTTTTTGCCCCTTGCCCTAATTCCTAAATAGCTCGTTGCCTCCTCGGGGGGCGCATATTTGTCTGATTACACAACACAATTTCACAATACAGCAACACTTTCGACAAAACACAGGGTTATACAATTATGGAGATGAAATTCGAAGTGGGTTTAGACTTAGATGAGAAACAACTCTTCATGTCTCGAACACTGAGAAGAACGAAGGCAGGCCCCTCCTCCTCCTCCTCCCCTCGTCGTCCTTTCGTCCTCCCTCGAGTAGACCTAACCTTATCGCAGCACACCACAGCACATTTGATCACAACCACAGTTAGACAAGCGATTTACAAGAGAGTTAGGAAGCTATACATTAACAAAACGTATCAATAAACAATCGACAAAATGGAAACTTCAAGCAACTTACCGAGGCTGAGTTCTCAACTCCACCGTTAGCCATGGACGATAAAATGTCTGCCACGTACTTGGTCGACTCGGCATAGCTGCTGGTCGCTGTAGGGGTATCAGACTGCGATGTGTACATCTTGAAGTCTAGAATGACCAATTCCGAGTGTTCGAAGACCCCAATTCTTAAAAACGGAAGCCTGTGGACAGTGTCACGGCTTGGGCAATGTCGGGTAGGCACTGAGAAGGGAAATCGGCAATGAGTCACTATTCCGTATTGAGATGGAAAACCCGTACCTCCGTTCATATAGTGGCCTGAGTCACAATGAATCACTTGGTATTTTTAGCATCATTACATCATGGGACATAGAAAGATCCAGATCACGTGATCAGATCGAAATCCATATTTGGAAAAATGCGGACTACGTCACAGAACTGGGGCTGTTGACCTAGATATCTGGCAGGTTTCCAGATAGTCAGTGTGCTTGCGCGCGCCCGTAATTTTGGCGGGTTTAAGTAAAACACGCGAAAATATGGAAACGATAAACAGTTTCGATATTTGCTATTAGAAACAGAGCAAAATAGCTTTTTACACTACACTGGCTTTTCTTGAAGTATATTTTGTCATTTCCCTAACTTTTAATATTTTTTCGACATAGCGAAAGCATTTTTATAACAGTTTTGTTGTAAAACTGTCAACAACGATCACTTTTTGAGAAAACATTTTTTGTCAATTTTTCTTTCATTTTTCACTGGTGATTTCCGAAGATACCTATGTTTTCATCGAAAATTTAGGCATTCTGTACAGTGGAGAAAACATGGACCGCGAACAGAGTTGGTTTTAAAATAAATGAACGCAAAATAATACCGGCAAGGGAACCCTAAAAATGATGTGTGATGTATTTTTAGATGATGATATCATATAGCACGAGTTTCATCAGCCTACGGTGTCGAAGTAAATTTGGCACACCAAAATAAAATACTAGACACAACGAAAGTAACAACACCATGTTGTTAAATTTACACAATTTTCTCACTGGTGATCCTTTTGAATTCCACTAGATCTAGAGCTGCTTTTCAGAGACATAATGTTATTAAATACGTTTACATCTAGATAACAGCTTGTGTTGGGGTTTTTTTTTATTTACAGTTAATTGGTTATATACTTGACTGTTATTGTTATAGAATACGAATAAATTGTGAATCATGATCGCATGTTTCAGATCTGGTGTTTAAGGAGGAGGAGGAGGAGAAGGAAGAGGAGGAGGAAGAAGAAGAAGAAAAAGAGGAGGAAAACAAAGAAGAACAACAAGAAGAAGAACAAAAAGAAGAAGAAGAAAAAGAAGAGTACAGTGGTAAAGGAACTGGCAAAAGAGTTAAACACATGCGATCTGTATCAACTCCAGAAAACATCCGAGTGATGCGCATGCAAAGTGTATTCTATTCACACTATATAAGCAGTCCAGAGTCGCTTGGACATAAAAAAAGAAGACAAAAAACAGTTGCACGTCATCTTGGGTATTATTTTAAACATTAGAAAAGCTGTTAAAAGACAGGAACCATTAGATTGAAATTCTGAAATGTTTTTGTTGTTGTTTTAACAATCATTTCCCTTGTTTTTTCTTTTCTTTTTCTTTTCTTTTTTTTTTTTGGGGGGGGGGAAGCAAAACAAAACAAAACATGATATTGGTATAATTGTAAAAAGAATGAACGTTTTTGTTTTCTTTATTCAACTCTGGGAAATTTTGTGATATTGATTTAGCATGTTTGCACAGCTTGCTGGTGTTTTGTTTTTCTCGACAACTGTAGGAAAAGGTGGTTGGTGGATGCTCTGTTTGGCCTGTCGTTTTGATTAACCCTTTTCAGTGTTGTTAATTTTTGCGTAACTATTTTCCGCTCAAATATGGACGTTGTCTTGACACATCTTGCCGTTAACAGTGCCAGTATAACGTTGCGTAT